TGAGGCAATGATGTCCGACCTGTAGGAATAATAGAAGGGTCGGTTTGGTACTTGGTATCATGGACCTATTGGTTGCACACTTGGGGGTATCCCGGCAAAAGATGGCAAAAGGCCACCTATGGGTTGAGGGGTTTGGGTGTCATGTTGATAGGTGATGATAGGTGATAGGTGCTGCTTCTTGGGTGTGCTACGAGGTGCAAGTGGTCTTGTCTTTGCTGTTGCTTTGTGATGAGTCTATGCAGTCTACGAGTTGCACAGCCCATAATACTCATCTTCACCACCATACAATGTTTAATGGTTATTGGTCTTGGTACGCTGTCCACTGGTCGAATGATTGTTGCCAGCACCCATCCTGCGGACACACCTGCCTTGAGTGCCACATCGCGATGGAGCTCTGTCGAATTCTCCTCCACCCAAACATTGATGTGTTCAGCCACCACGTCCTGCCATGCTCTTAATGGGCAAAATCTTCCATGCTGAAAAGAAGGCAAACACCAATCAAATGATTAATGTATATATTATATACACGTCTTCTAGGGTGTGTAGGCGGTTCCGGAATTATGAGCCATATAATACGTCATGTCATGTCGCTTTGTCGGTGGGCCTGTCAAACACAAAGACTGAACCCATCCCACCGACAGCACAGTCAATTCGCAACTCGATTGAACACCTCCCTGGGATCGTCCAAGACTCCTGAAGAGTGAAATTGCTCTCCTTGTTGGCACCTGCACAGCCACACAGAGTTTGCACAAATCATCTCCTCACAAGCACTTTTGTATCAAATGTCCTCCGTCTGCTTGGTAAGTGCTTCATGGTAGGAACAACTCATCACACGAACATGTCTCCTCTTGATGATCACTCTTTGGTGGGTTCCCAAAACTGGTTTGCAGGCATCCTCATGTCCAGGAGCCGCCCCCATCCGACGGCAGCGAACGGCAGGCCTGTGTTGAAAAATAGTTGCTTGGTTCCCTTGGTGGGGTACACCCGCTGCCATCCTGAGAAGCAAAATGGATCCAGGACCGAGTACGAAACAAGAAGCTACCAGGACTACAACAGCAACCATGACCACAACATCAACAGGCAACAACCAGAACAAAGACAAAGCAAATGGCAACAACGACGACAACAGCAACAACAGCCCACGAAATCCCTGGAGTAGAAGACTATGTCACAGTCACTATGAATAGCATGGTCTTTAGATGACCTGAATAGGACCTTTTAGAGCATTGGATGTGTACCAGCCGGGTCCAAGCTGTTATATAATTCTCGCCCGATGTAACGGAACCACATGTGCAGTCAACCTTCGAGTACTTCCAGATTTTGTAAGAATGATACTAGCATGATATGCAAGCCTCCAACAACACCCGCGTCAACCTTAACAAATGAAGCAATCAAGCATGGCTTTATGATGCTTTGTGGCTACTTACGCGTTGGAACCATGAATGAGATGTCGATTTGGAGAAACAGCAAACACAAATGCTGAACATCCTGTTCAGCATCCGGCATCTATTCGATGGATCCGTGGATCGGTCCAAATATCGAAGAACTCAACATCACTCAACCTACACTTGGAATTACTATTTCTTACGGGTTTGTGGAAAAAGGGTCATCCAAGATTACGTCCACGTGACCATGATCATTTCAGGGAGTAAGGAGGTGTGCATGCCCAGGTCGCCACCACAACCCTGCCCTCAAAGCTCCTGGACATCTGGGACATCTTTCTCAACCACATGTTCACGTTTTGGGAGAGAGGTGGGTCTCCAATCCAGCCGGATGAGACGATGCCAGAGAAGCCCAGGGCCCAGGTCACCCCAAAATCATTCGTTTGCCTGACCGCTTGCAGAGGATCCTCGACACCGGTCAGTATGCTGCATCATGGACTTGAACCCCGCGAAGCACGCGTGCCCGCCTGGTGCCAAAAAACCAGGTGCTTTGGTCGGAGGGAAGAAGGTGCTTTGCTAGACCATCCAAGAATATCAGCACAGGACTTAGCAGCTCACTGCGTACCCAGTGACATTAGGCTTTTTCCCGAAAGCATTGCGAAGGGTTCTTCCGGAAAATCCTTTGAACACTGACACTTCGACACTTACACTTCGACACTCACACTGACACACACACACACACTGGAAGAGCGAAAGCATCGAAGTGCGAAGTATGCCAGTGTCAAAGTATGCAAGTGTAAGTATGCAAGCATGATATGCAAGGGTGAGTATGCAAGCATGCAATGACTATGCAAGCATGCAATGACTAGGCAAGTGTGAGTATGGAAAACTAGCACGGGAGATGTCCTAATGAAAAAACATTTCCCCACTTTATAAATTCTCTCTTAAAGGCGGAGTGCGGGACGAACAGCGTCAACCGAAAGTGCAACCCTCTGCGGAGATCGTGCGTGTCGAGTGCGCGAAATGCAGGCGAGAGTGCGATTTGTCCGGTGTGCGCGCAGCCCTCTGCGGAGATCGTGCGTGTCGAGTGCGCGAAATGCAGGTGAGAGTGCGATTTGCCGGCTGTGCGCGCAACCCTCTGCGGAGATCGTGCGTGTCGAGTGCGCGAAATGCAGGCGAGAGTGCGATTTGCCGGCTGCGCGCGCAACCCTCTGCGGAGATCGTGCGTGTCGAGTGTGCGAAATGAGAACTGGCGACTTGGTAGTACAACTTGAGTACGCGGAGTATCTGCGGAGCTGGAAGATGAGAACTGGCGACTTTGTAGTGCAACTTTAGTACGCGGAGTATCTGGGGAGCTGGAAGATGAGAACTGGCGACTTTATAGTACAACTTTAGTAGGAGCAATCTGTGGAGCTGGAAGCTGAGCACTGGCGACTTTGTAGTACAACTTTAGTACGCGGAGTATCTGGGGAGCTGGAAGCTGAGAACTGGCGACTTTGTAGTACAACTTTAGTACGCGGAGTAATCTGTGGAGCTGGAAGCTGAGAACTGGCGACTTTGTAGTGCAACTTTAGTACGCGGAGTATCTGGGGAGCTGGGAGATGAGAACTGGCGACTTTGTAGTACAACTTTAGTACGCGGAGTAT